CCGCGCTGAGCCGACAAACAGCTGAGAGCAGATAAACAGCTGATCAGCTGTTTGTCGTCTCAGCGCGGCAGCCATGTAAATTTAAATGAAGCGGCGATTATTTAAATCGCCGCTTCATTTTACTATGTCTGGTATCCTAATCTACATGCCTCTGGCGACAGAGGCATGTAGTCTAGACGTACCCTAAAAGTTTTGAATCTAAAAGGGACATTTGGCTTCTATCTACAATGAATAAAAACCGTTAAAGTGCATTCGGCTTTCTTCTTTTGTTGCTAATACCTCAGTCTAAATTTTCAAACCACTGTGGGAGGAATCCAGCTGTACAATTCCCATTGATATTCATGGGAGTCTGACTTAGCCTGCATCTTTCATTGTTCTTATCTGACAAGATGATCACTGGAAGGCCATGCAAAAGCCCATTCCTTGGCATGGGAATCACATTAACCAGTGGAAGATAAACCCCATCCTATTAAATCTACAGAAAAGATCTGAGGAGGATCCCTTCAGAGTTTTGAAAAGAAATGACTGCTATAGAGACCAAGGGCCAGATTGTGATCTGTGACACACACACAAATCCAAAGAAATTCCACTAAAGTCAGAGCTGCTGTGGATTTACAACAATGTCAGAGATAAAATTCTGGCCCTGGATTGAAACATGTTCTGGAATGATGCTGGGCTGAGAGTATGTATAACTTACTAGTGTTTGTGTTTTGCACCTATTAAATTTAGAGTCACAGAGCTGCTGAAATGTTCTAGCAGTATTAATTGAATAGCAAAATGCCTTGACTTCCAGAGAGACTTCTAATTCTCTAAAGATGTGTTTGTGTGTGTCATTTGTACTGAGTTTTTCCAGTTTTGGAAGGTCCTTGATCGGGCTTGAATGAAATAAACATGAATATTTCACGTTCAGATGAAACAGAGAGATGTAATATTTCCTCTCTAACTTAAATGACAGGCTCCCATGGGGACATGCTGGGGTGATATCTCAGAAGGCGTGCGAGTGGAAGTTCCAAACACGGACTGCAGCCTACCTACCAAAGTCTTCTGGATAGCTGGAATCGTGAAATTAGCAGGTTAATTTTTGTATTAAAATTTGTGGGATGATAAGTGTACTGGGGAAATTTAATTAAGCAATTCTTTTTTAAAAGCAAGAAGGCTGTAGAGATACAAAGAAGCTATCAATACTGTCTGCGGCTCAATGTTTTCTATGAGGACTATACTCTGGTTGTGTTTGTGGGGGAGGGGTTGTTTTTAAGAGAGAAAAAGATTTTAGCTGAAAGTTGAATTGTGCATTTGAAGAAATAACTCTGAACCTGCTCCTCCTCCAGTTGTAGTCAATAAGAATGATTTGGCAAAAGGAATGTTGCCCTGAGGCCTGGCCGTTCTGGGAGAACTGAGCCGTGACCCCTTTGCCCAGGAGCCTAGCAAGTACCCTGCTCAGAGCTATCACACTAAGGCTGCTTCTACATTGGCATGATTTTGCACAAATACTTTTAACGGAAAAGTTTTTGCGTTAAAAGTATTTGCGCAAGAGAGCGTCTATACTGTCATGTGCCTTTGCGCAAAAGATTTGCTTTTGCGCAAAAGCATCCGTGCCAGTGTAGACGCTGTCTTGTGCAAGAAAGCTCCGATGGCTATTTTAGCCATCGGGCTTTCTTGCGCAAGAAATTGATGTTACCTGTCTACACTGGCCTCTTGTGCAAGAACACTTATGCAAGAGGACTTATCTGTGAGCGGGAGCGTCGGAGTATTTGCGCAAGAAGCACTGATTTCATACAGTAGAACATCAGTGTTCTTGCGCAAAATCTTGCCAATGTAGACACAGCCTAAGTGAAATGTTGTAAGGTGTTATAGCTGTTTCCTGTTTTGTGCTGTAGGCCTTCAGCTCCAGCTGGCTTCAATGAGAGCTAAATGTGCTTATAACTTCAATGCACTGGATTCTAAACTAGTTATTTAGCAAATGTCTATGTAAAAGTTTCCAGTATCAGCAGTTTCTTTTGAAGGCACTTTTCAGGACAAACAGATTATGTATGAATTTTTGTCCTTGCCAGAGTAATAAGGGAGAGAAAAATTCCCACCTGCTGAGCTTTCAAACTCCTCAGCTTTACTGCTATTCAGGTGTTTTGCATTGGCCCAGATTTCAGGGAAGAGCTTCCTCACATTATGCATCATTCAAGATCAGAAAATAAGAAATCGAATAGCTTCAGATCAGTAAACTTGTAATTCCACTAATGATCTTCTTTCTTAGTAAAAAGCCAGGTTAACTTAATATAAAGTTAAAGGTCACATAGCTAAACACTGAAAAGTCGAGGACTGTGTACATTACGGTTGAACACACTGTTGTATTGCATATACAGATGTAATCTTTAATAATAGGGTCACATACTATATATCAAATATGATATACAGTTTTTCCTGCCCTATGAAATACATATGAAATCTCACAGCATTTTTATTCTTAAAGTCCAGCAAGGTGTCTTCTAACTTATATAATCTGAAGAATTCAGTGGACATATGTTATACTAGGTACAATATTATTAATGGTTATAACCACTCAGCTATAGTTTTTAAACCTGGAATTGCTCTCTTTCAGGTTACAATGCTTTGCTAAGATATGAAGGGTTTGAAAATGATTCAAGTGTTGACTTCTGGTGCAACGTCTGTGGGTCTGACATCCACCCAGTTGGTTGGTGTGCAACTAGTGGGAAGCCTTTAGTCCCACCTAGAAGTATG